AAAATAAATTTCTAGATCTTAGACTATGCTTTTCAATGAATTTTTTGACTTGAAAAATAAGTTGCATCATTAAAAAATGCAAAAGTCCATTGTAAGTTCTGTTTGAAAAATTACTACGGACAATATAGAATCTTAATGTAGAAGATAAATTGAAATTAGAGCACATTTTATTCATACTTACAAGATTGCCTGGGAAATGATGAATATTGGTGTTGAGTAGGAGAATATGCTTTCAAATTTCTCGAATAATCTGAGTGGAATTGTCGTGATATTGATGCAGGTAGGCGTTTTGAATTCATACACAAAATTGGAAATCCCGCTTTAGGCATAAAGCCTGGAGGAATATCACATTCTTCAATAATTACTCCATCTGCTGCTAAACGTTCTGCCAACTCACTCATCGAATCAGATAATGTCCAATTTCTAAATTTTTGATGTGATTTTTTTATGTCTAATACAAAACTAAGACAATATTTCACAAATATTTGAAATTTTTTGACACATTTTTGAAAATGATATACTTTTTAATCCATAACGTTCAATCAATTATAATAAGGATAAACTTGAACTGAATTCAAGAAGCCTAAATTATACTTGTGACTGCAATACAGTCTTCTCTGTAAATTATTTTTATACTTCCAGTTGCATATGTACTGTAATAATAAAATGCAATATGTAATCAATTTCTATTCTTTTGTCTAAATTTTTGAAATTTGGTAAGTACCACTTACCTGTCTGGCGATGCTGACGACAAATCATTACCACGGAATACAGCATTAAAACGCTTCTTTAATTTCTTCATTAGATGTACTGAAGTTAGTAGAATCCATAATAACATGAGGATTACTACCAATTTAATACACTACGAATTATTCTATGAATTTTTTACTCATTCTATACAAGAGTGTCGTTTTTATGACATTAAACGACAAATTTCACGCGGCCATTGTATGAAACTAGACAAGTTTATCAATAAAACTAAGGAATGCCATTAATTTTGTATGTAATAGCATTATTTTTAAGTGGTATTGTTTCAACATGGGAAGGTAATCAGATTAATTATTAAAAAGCAAAATAATCCTAACAAAAAGAATAAAAAATAAATAAGTAAATAAATAAAGAATGAAATTATAATTGAACAATGCATAAGTGAAATGGATGTGTAGAAAAAAGGGAAAAAGTGATAGATCAATTGATTTGAAGAAGATAAAATAACAAAATTTGTAATTCATTCATGTGAAACAATAATAAATTTTGCACAATTTAATAATTATAAGAAGCTATACGAATGAGAAACTTTTGCTAATACAATTTTTATTGTATAACTGTTACAAAGAATTGTAATTAACGGTCACATACCTTTATTTCCGTGTCTGTTTGCGTGCCATTTGTAGTGAATGAAATGAGTGAAGGAGAATATACGAGGCGAGTCACCTCGATTGATGCCATCAACTCATTCATTGCCCACTCATTCATTCATTCATTCATTCATCCATTCATTCATTCATTCACGCACTCCCTCATTTATTAATTAATTGTCAGGCAACTTTCTTATAGTTTAGATGAAATGTGTTAACATATAAATAAGTATTAGTGAATTAAACTGAAGCAAAAATAAAAAAACAAAAAAACATGTTTATATTTTGTGCTATGATTAATAACAACTGCATATTGTACTTCTTACTGACCTGATAAATGTTTAGTAGAATAATAAGTGATCATAACTGTGATGATCTACTTGGGGATTATCACTACATGAGAGATTTGATAATAATGAGTCATTATCGGTAAAGGAGTATAGGAATTAAAATTAAAAATGCATGTATGTACAAACGTGAAGTGTATGTGTATGTATGTATGTATGTGTATGTATGTGTATGTGTGTGTATGTGTGTGCATGTGTGTGTGTATGTGTTTGTGTATGAGTGAGTGTGCGCATATATGTATACAATACACATACACATGTGTATTTGTGTGATTAATGGAATAGTATGGAATTGTGGGAGTAATCGATGATAGGTATTTGAAATGAAAGATAGGAAGGAAAATATGTTTAAAATTAACGACTGTCAGTAGAATGCATGCAGTTGAGTTACATTCCGCTAGTCACTATATTCACTTAACTATTTATTTTTTCATTTATTCATTCATGCATGCATGCATTCATTCATTCTTTCCCTTATTCATCTATCTATCTATCTATCTATCTCTCTATCTCTCTATCTATCTACCTAAACATCTATTAATTAATCTATTTATCTATGTATCTAACTGTATGCAATCAAAAAATAATTTTAGGTATGGGAAACTGAGGAAACTGAAGTGTTGCAAGTTGAAATCAAGTCATGTCAATGAAGTTTTCTTTGCTTTTCTAAATTCATGCATCCTTCCAATTTTTATCTCACAGTTGCGTGAAATAAATAAATGCGTTAGTTAGTTAGTTAGTTAGTTAATCTTAGCTAAAGTTTTAACAGCAATAAATGTCACTGTTATCAATTTAATATTGCACAAATATTGTTGTGCATGCATACGCAAGCAATAAATTTTAGCGATTGTTATGCATACAGCAATAAATTTTGAGAAGCAAAAAAAACTTTTTTTCTCACCAAACTACACAATTTTCAGCAGTTCATAATTAGTAACTTGTTTTACTCCTATAAACAATTATATAAAGTATTTTCCAAATTTATAGCTGCCTAATTATTATTTATGTACTAAAAATAATATCGCATATTCTCTATGAGAGAGTTCAGTATTTTGCCTGTGTAATTTGAGAAAATAATGAAAAAGACCAATTACCTCAAATTATAAAAATGTTAAAAAATATAATTTATCTGAAAGAATTATTATTATTATTATTTTTATTTTTATGCACAAACAGCAAAATTGAAAGTTATGAAAAGTAAAAATGAAAAAGAGAACTGTGCTGTGAATATTAAAATTTCTTATGAGACTATAATGACTATCTTTTTGCATGTAATAATCAAATAAATTCATTATATTACAAGACTTCATATTATTACATTATGAATGTAAAAATGAATAAATTAATTTTTTCCTGAGAATATTGAAAAATTCAAGCATTATTTTTGCATACAAAATAAGCCGTAAGAGAAAGTATGACAATAAAACGATTATTATGCAACAATATCTATTCATTTAGCATATCAAGAAAAAAAAAGTAATGTTAGAGGTCAGTTAAATGAGTTTTAAAAAAAAGCAATAAGAAAAGAATATGTTAATTAAGATGAAAAAGTGAATATATTTGAAATGGAATGGAAAGAGATATTATTTTAGGCATAAAAAGAGACAGATATAAGCAATACAGCACAAAATATGATCAAATAATGACGAAGAAAAATAGCAGTCAACAAAATCTTTTTTTCATTTTCATTTTATTTTCATCGCATAATATAATAGCAAGCAAACAATTTCAGTCAATTCATTAAAATGCTTTCTTTATTGTTGACTACATGATATCATTAATGTGTTACTTTCTACTTTCTACTTTCTACTTGCTACTTGCTACTTGCTACTTGCGTACATCTCATCTAAGCAATGTTCGTACTTACTTAAAAATAATGAACTTACTCTCGTAGTTAGTAGTATTCGTTTTTTTGCAAGAAAATATTTATTGTTAAATAATGTTATTCATACTAATAATGTGAAAGAATGAAAACAAAAATTACTTGTTAAAAAAATCATCAAAAAATTTTAGACAAAATAGAATGCAAAATTTTCAGCTACAAAAAAAAGATTTAAAAAAAATTCCTATAAATAAATGACCTTTTGAAGAAATGCATAAACTTTTACAATTATAGCAAATTTTATTTCTTTTTTTTTTTTTTTGCAATAAAATAAATGAGCTAAAATTTGATCATTTCTTTTCTTTCCAAAGTAATAATTATAAGCATGAACTATTTGAAATGTAAATTTTAAAAGAATCACAATTTTCAAAAGAGACAGGACGATATAAAATTCGTATTATGATTGAATGTTTATCTATCTAGTTTTGTTGACAATATTAGATGGAAAATAGTAATAAAAATAGTTCAAAAGATATACTGTAACTGAAATAAAACGGATTATTCTGTCTAGATGTGTTTTTGAGTAGTAAATATGTAGTGTAAAATTTGGTAAAAATGTGACAGCTGTCATATTCAATTAAACGTCATCATTGTACTATAATAAAAAATAAAAAATAACGCAGAGAAGTATTGTTGTAAATACTCATTTATAGATAATTGCGAATACTGTGATTAATCATAAAATGAAAAACTTGAATTTTTGTAATTTAGTAAATTTATGATGTATGAACTTAAAAAGTTTTCTATATCATATAAGACAAGATGCGAAATGGAAAAGAAAAACTGAGTAAAAGAAGATTACAAAAATAGCTAACTGTGAAGTCAAATACTAATGTAGGACCGATTATTTTGTTAAGTACACTTGTTGTACCTAGCAATATATCAAGATTCTAAGCATTGCGTGAATCAGAGTCAACGGATTACCAAGCAGTGATGATATCACCTTTTTTGCTACTGAAAAGTATCTTGAAGATTGTTGTCATAGACTTGCTTCACTGCTCAACTGGTCTTCCATCTCTTAGCAAAAGTTTATTTTTGCCACACGCGACAGTTTTGTTGCTTAAAAATAAAAATACACTTTATTATTGTGCAGAGGCAAATAAAATTTTCTAATTTTGGCATATAAAAGTATATACACAACTTTACTATCGTTCTTTCCTTTCACGTATGTTAAATTTTTTAAATTTGCTGAAAATAGTTTCAAATGACTTTAAAATT